ACCCAGAGTCCTGGTCACCAAACCAGCCCTGGCCATCCTCCTCTAAGGGAGGAGTGAGTGTCAGGAGGAGCTGAGATCACTCCAGCAGCTCTTCTTACCCTACCAACCCCAACAGTGGGGCACACCACAGACCCAGCTGTCCTTCCCTGGATCAACACTGAAAGCCTGGAACAACTGCAAATCATCAGGTATTTCTTAGAGTCCTTCAAAGAAAAATAAAAAGAGGTGTGTAAGTCTCAGAGGCATGTGCTATTTATTTTACATGCTAAATGATTAGTAAGCTCCAAAAGCTAGTTCTCAGTAGGCAGGAAATGTCAGGAGCAATGTGGCCTTTGCAGTAGGCTGTTGAGTTGCATATTGAGCAGCCAGGGCAGGAGGGTATTGAACAGGTGATGATTAACTGTGTGCTCTGTCTGCAGCACTGAGCAGGGAAGGGTCTCTGAGGCACATGAAGCAAAGTACAGGCAGTAATTCTGGCAGTGCCTGGCTCCTGAGGGCTCAGGTTTGCAACCTGCATTGCTGTCTGAGTGAAACTGATACTGTTTGGGGAAAAAAAGAAGACAAGACAAAAGAGTGCTTTCATCGTGGTGCACCAGTGGCACCCAGGTGTCAGCAGGGTGGGGATGTGCCCAGTGCCCTGCTGAGACACCCCCAGCTGACAGGGAGCAGCCCCTGCAGCACTTTGGCAGCCTCCTGGCAGCCCCGTGCCCACCACCCACGGCTGCTCTTCTCCTTGCTTCCCACCCCAAGCACTGATTGTAAGAGAGGCCCCCGAGCTCCTTGCTCATGCAGTGACTGCATGGCCAGGCTGTGACACACCCCAGCCAGGGGAGGGGAGCTGGTGCTGTGGCTGTGTCAGGAGGATGAACCCAAGCTCAGGTAATGAATCAGTCTCCCTGAGGGATGGGGGAAATGGATTGCATCTTAATGTCCCAGACACACTCTGCTACTTGCTGCAGCAGAGCTGTAGGCACTTGTGTGCACCTCCTGCAGGACCCAGAGGTGGAAGCATGGCTAAAGGGGGATTTCTGGATGACAACCTTGCCTTCAGGAGCTTAAATCCAGCCCATCATGCTCAGGGAGCTGGTACCACACACTGACACGATGCAGTGAAGCACCATGTAGAATTACCAGTCTAAGCAAATGAAGCAGTTTAGGCACCAGAGCAGCTCTACAGGCATGGCTCCACACCTGGGCCAGCTAAGCCTGGTGAAAAGCTGGAACTAAGCTGTCCATTTAGAGAGCCTGCTAAAGGAGGTGTGCTCTGCAGAGCTAGGGTTCACTCCAGGAGGTAACCATGGCACTGAGGAGGGTGCTGTGGAGAAGATTCCTGAACAGCCCTGGGTGCACTGTAAAAGTCAAAACTCCCCTTGGGTAAGTGCCAACGAGTGCCACCTCATATGGGACAAAGTGACACTGTTCAAAGGCATTTTTCAAAACCATTATCATTCAAAGGCATTTTTCAAAACCATTATCAATTTCAGGCAGATTTTCTAAAGGATGTGGAAACCACAACACTAATTCAAAAGCAACTCCCTCTCAAACTCTCAGTCCTTGTTTCAAAGCAGGAAGGTGGCAAGTGCATTTCCTCAGGAATTTTCCTTGGTAGACAACAAACACAAACCCCACATAGTTTCCATGTGCTGCTCTTGGGATGGCTGAATCCTTTTGATGATAATTTTTTCAAACGAGTTTTGCTTGCTACTCCACATGGAATCTGCTAACCCAAATAGTTAAAAAATGATATACCTACTGGAAACTGAGTCTTACAAGGGCAAACGTTCTACAGCACTCCTAGGTGATACTTTCTGCATCACCTACAGTCATGGATCTGGTGAAACATTTCAGACAGAAGGACAAGATTAAAGAATTCTCACAGTTGTGCTGAGAGGTGTAGAAACAGTTACAGCTAAAACATTCTTCCTTGTGATCACAGGCTTTGTTAGACAATGCCAAACACTGCTGGAGAAAGAGCCATGCAGAAAGTGATCTGCCTGGTATGTGTGTCCTCCCAGGAAATAAATGGGAGGCAGTACCACCTATGCAGCCGTGACAAGTTAATTCAATTTCCATCTCAGAGTCAGGTAAAGTGTATTTCATTTGTTACCATGGATACAAGACATTATTACCATTTGTTTGGGATCTCACAGTGGGTATGAAATCAAACTGTGACACAGTTTCATGAGGGAAGTTGACTAAAACCCCCTAAGTTCACTGTCATTAGGCCAAAGGATTTTCTTTGTTAGGCACACTAAATAAGAGGATGACTGCTGCCTGTAAGGTACACTTCCTAAGCAAACATCTGTAGGATTTTGCTGTTGATACTTTGGATCAGTAGGAATAATGGAAGAGAAAATAAACATTCATTTCATCAGTCCTGCAAATGCAGAAGAGAATCCTGGAACATGCTCAGATGGCAGAATTACATTAAAAATACACTGATGTTGTGTTATTTGCTATTGTTTGGCCCCAAACATGTTTATAGAGAAATGTCTTGATGTTGAAAATGCATCCAGTTTTTCTCAGATGACTCTGCTTTCCAGGCTGCAGCTCAAATCACTTGCTGTCTGGTTTTCAGAGTTGGAAGAAGAGGTGTATGAAAAAGCAGGAGAGAATGAAGAGGGAAGAAGGAGCAGGAATATGTTTTTTAAATGCTGACATACATGCAGGGCTCAGGAATCCAACAGCAGTCAGTTTACCTTGTCTGAAATTAATTTTAATATATACAAAAGGATAAAAGGGAATACAGGTCTTCTTGTTAAATTATTACTGCTGGAGCCCTGGCCCTGTGTTTAATATTTCATGGAGACACTGATTTCCAGAGATGCTGAGCACCTGCTCTGCTGGCAGCTTCAGCTGAGGGTGGCAGCCCTCAGCATTTACAGAACCGTGCCGAGATAAAGCAGTCTACCCACATCAAAGGGTTATTTCTAAATACTCATGCACGACCCCCATGAAAAGCACCAAGGTTCTGGGATGGCAGGGCTGTGCCTCACCACTGAAACCCAGACCCATCACCCAGCTGCCTAACTGACTGATCACTTCCCACCAAAAGCTCTGAACCCCCCTCCGTGGCGCTGCGTGCCTGCCCGCCGCGGCAGTGTCAGAGTGGATTATCTGCAAGGGCTTCTCCAGCTCCTTGGGCCATCTCTAACGATGGTGCACGGGGAGTCACGAGGTCTGACCCTCAGGTGGCAAACTGGGAGAACCCAGTGCCTCCCAGCACAATGGTCATGGGAATGCTCAGAGGGGCAGGGGCTGCGCTGCCCAGCGCTCGCAGAAGGGAGGGGAGTAAATCCCTCTGTTCTTGACTTGCATTATCAACATTTGCTTGAAGTGACAATAGAAACCTACTTACATTCTACCAACTCCATTATCCTTCATCCAGACCCCAGGTAGGAAATTCTAATCATGCAAAATGAGTGCTAGGGCTCGAGCATTTTGATTCAGTAGTATTTTGTGCCCATTTTTCAGTGTTTTTGATGGAGAATTAGTACCAGGCTGGAATTTAGCATGATATTTATATATGCAGTTAAATTTAATGAAGCCAGTGATATTTAAATTTCCATGTGTACAAGGATAAGACCATAAATAAACCTCCAGCACATCTAAAGTACACTGAAACCTCAAGTATTTCTGATTAATGACTTTACTCCTAAATTCAGGAAGGATTTTATTCCTGAGTGGTCAATGACTTATTTTCTGTTTTTCAAATACTTTGTTCAGAATTACTCCACTGATTAATCACCCTCATTTGGGAAAACTCTGCAGGTTTTGCAGGGGTTTATGTTCATATGAACACACGTGTAGGCTTGTCTTGTGCTCTGCTACTTGTTCTTAGGGTGGGATTTGTAGACTTGTTGGGACTCGACGGGTATCCTGGCAGCAATGCAACTCCTGACCCAAGCTGGCAGCTCAGATAGAAATGAATTTCTCCCATGTTTTGTCATAAAAAAGCAGCATAGTGTGACCTGGGAGTGTGAACCACTTGTCCCCTTCTGGAATCTACTAACCAGGAGTGAGAGAAGAGTGCACGTGTTGCTTCAGGGCACGGATGATGGAGGCAAAATTAACCTCTGCACTGACATCTCAGGAGGCTCCATTCTAGATGGGAACCCAATCCAGTGTCGTGGGGAGCCACTGCCCTTGAGCTCTGTCGTGTAGCAGCTAAATGCAAGTTCCTGGGCAGAACTGAAGCTGCATGTTGAGTGGCAGCTGCTTGTGTGTTGATGGACGTGTTTGATGGAGCAGGCTGGATGTGCTTGCCAAGACCTGCCCTGCACCACGTCAGGGGCACACTGACAAATAAGGGAGGATGGACAAGACAAACTGAGCCCACCCTGCAGGGACACAATGCACTTTCTGTCTGACTGATCTCTGAGAAAAAGCTTTGTCATTGTACTAAGGCACTCAAGAACTGCCTGCATGAAAAGGTTACACCCCTGGGTCAGCATGAATGATAAAAGCTTAGGAAACATCACTGATGTTGCCTCTCCACTTGCAAGTCAGCAGGAGGGTAATCTGCAGGAGCTGCAGATGTCTCGGTCACCCTCAAACAAGGGTCAGCAGAAAAAAGACAAAGTCAGGAGGTGGAGATGCATCTAAAGATGCAGATGAATGCAAACAGTGCCACAGATGACTGGCTGTGCTGCACTGGGCAAACTCTTGAACTTTTCTGCAGGGTTCTGGCCAATTGGCCAGGCACGCCATGGGATGGACTGAAGTAATTTGCTCCTAAACAGAACAGTCGTAAGGAGTTTCCTTGAAGAATTGATGGGTTTACAGTTCATAAATTCCTGAAATGACTATCCCTAGATATGTCCCCAATTCCTCCCCACTCTTTCTCC